GTTCACAAAAACGTAAGTGATGAACAACACAATCGATAAGTTTGGTAGTCGATGGCATAAATCGGGTAGTGAACCCGTTCGGGGTTTACGTGGTGTTGGTTTCAAGCTAAGTTCCACTAATCAATATGACGTAGGGGAAAAATCATTAACTAATTTATCAGTTCCAAAAAGCAATGGTGATATTACTACAAAATTGTATGTAGATACAGCATTCCATATGTTGCAACAATCATTAACTAATTTAATAAACGTAGATATGATCGATGTGATGAAGAAGATTATTCATGAAGAAGTATTTAGCATAGTTGGTAAAAGAACTTATGATCTTGAACAAGCAGATCGTGATAAGGAAAAATGTAAACAAACCTTTATAACACTGAATGGAAAGTTGATTGAGCTAGAAAAAAAAATCAAAAGATCGTTACTACGTATATAAACATGCGGACTTAAAATCTAGTAGAACAGTTATTCGAAAATATGAGTGCGATAAACAACACAATTGATAAGTTTGGTCGTCGAGGAAATAAAGTGAACGATCCAGCAGTTCGTGGGTTACCTGGAATAGGTTTTAAGCTCGATGTCAATGACCAATTTGATATGGAGGGCAAGTCCTTAACTAACGTATTAGAGCCAAAAAATGATTGTGACGCAACCACCAAAAAATACGTTGACAATACAGTAATACAGCTACGACAAACAATTGCGAATATGCTAAATGGTGAAATACATAATTTAATGGTGAAGATTATCGATCAAGAAATAGATAAAGCCATTCCTACGGAAACTCAACAACTAAAGCTAGCAATTCTGGATAGACAAAAGTGTATGCAAGGGCTTGAAGTGATGGAAAAAAGGATTAGTCATTTGGAATTTAAATTTTCTTGAAGACATTGTATTGGTGATGAGAAGTTCAAAATAGTTGTAGTCGTTATATTATGATGCTTTAGTTAATAAATAAATAAATAAATAAAACAAACTGCTCACTTAAATTAGATAGTTTTATTTCAGGTAAATTTAAACAATATCAGCTAAATTAATCCATGAGTTATCGGATTCCGGAAAACCCAACCATTTAACAAACAACTGATCCATTGAATTTTTCTTTCGACGACGAATTATTTTCTCAATTAAGTATACATGAGGATTCCTGGTTTTCTGTAATTCGGCTTCATAAAAACATCCCTTAATGATTTGTCCATCCAAAGATTCTAAAGCATATGTTGGTGGATTTGTGATCTTGACCTGGATAATTTTAAATAATTCTGTAGACCATGATGGATTATATCCTTTTTCGAACAAACTCTTATATTTACTAATGCGTACAATATCACCAACATCAAATTTAAAAAATTTGGGAGCAATTTTTGGGTTATCATAGATGCTTAAATTTGTGTGCTCTGTTACATCTACTGGTTTCATTCCTATGGTGCGATGAATAGTGTGATTATAGCTCTTAGTAACTTTTGGTAGAAGTTTCAACCACCTATATGTACCTCTTGCAGAAAATTCCTTATACAAACGATTTTTTATTGTTCTGATAACTCGCTCCACGATTGCTGCTTTTTTCGTGCTATATGTGGAATAGTGATTTATATGAAATCTATCCATTAAACTCCTGAATTGTTGGTTGTAAAATTCGGTACCATTGTCACTTTGTAGGTTGTTGGGTGAGTATTTTGCATTCCTGATAATACTTTCCATAGCTTTAGTAACTTCGAATGCAGTTTTAGTTTTTATAGATTGAGAATATACATATTTCGAAAAACAGTTTATGCATATCAAAATATATCGATAACCATCATTTTCATTGGCATATTGTTGCATTTCTATTAAATCTATTTGCCATAAATCCCAATAACCCTTTATTATTGTGCGCCTTCTCCGAAAGTTTTTTCGTGATGATCTATGCAATTCATTTACAACCGCCCATTTTATAGGTGTGGGTTCCATATCTATTCAATGAATGTTCAGTAACTACTGATAATTATAATATTCACCACACCTTTAATAAACTATACCTTCTTCTCTTAATTCTTCGATGATTGAAAGTCGCAACCGATTTACTAGTTCTTTCGGTTTATTCCAATAGACATACTCTATACGTCGCTTGGATAATAATTTATTTGATGGTATTTTACCACCCTTGGTGTGCAGCCCACTACCTTGAGTTGGTTTAAATAATGGATCTAACAATTCACTAAATTTGGGCCACCTTGATGTTCTTATTTTTTTATCTTTATTATAGTTATGGTTCATAGCATGAGTACGCTTCAATATTTCTCTATATGTTTCCAAAGTGTTATCCGATAACTTAGTCAAATTATCTAGAACTTTTGGTTTTTTTAAAAAAAGTAAATCATACAATTCATTACTTCCTTTGAAAGATCCGATTTTTTCATTATTTCGCCATAAATCAATATTACCAGAATTAAATTTTGCTTCAGCATCTCCAATGAAATATTTGTTTTTGTGTTTTTTCTCTGTCCTAACTCCATAGACTGTGTCGTATTCGGATGGTTTATTATATAGTCCCTCAATGTATATCTCTGGTGAATTTTCTTCGTATGAAGCAACAGAATTCTCTTCATCTGAATCGCTACCATCAAGAATACCCTTCCACTTTCGATGGATAGGTGTAAAAAAGTTACTTGAGATATCTAATTCCGTCTTTTTTTTCGAAGTGGGTCTATCAGACTGTAAAACATTTTGTAGTTTTTGTTTCTCTAAGGATTGAGACATAGAATTGAGGGGTTTTGTTACCGGCTCATACATCTTCTCTAACATCAACTTGTCATCTGCTTGCATGGCTTTAATTTCTCTAAATTTCTTTCTCACGGCTTCGGTCGCTTCAATCAACTCATTTTTCAAATTCAGATCCTCACTCATGGTGTTGTCGTAGTATGGTTTTATGGTGAACTAATAAAAAGTTACATCAATTTAGTGATATATAGGATGTGAAACCTTTACGATATCGTCCCGAACTGCAATCACTGTCTTTATCAATTACGAGAAACCCATATTTATCGCTCCAGCAAAGAGCACACATTTCCAGGAATTTTTGGAAAGTCATATCAGGAGCTACATGATCAGAAAAAATATGTCGCAAATTCATCTCATCTTGTTTAAATAAAGCGATAAAATTAGCGTTGTCTCGTACAAGTTGTTTTGGAACTCTGGAATAAGTCTGCGCTAAGTAGAAGGAGTCCACATTCTTATGACGCCCCATACTGAAGTATGACCTTATAACATCCTGCTTTTCACACATAACATCATCAAAAATGAATATGGAATTGGGTTTTGCCTCTGACGGTTCAACAATATTGGTGGTATCACTAAAAGTGTAAAATCCAAGTCCTTTAACAGTCGCCATAACTTTTCTAAGATATTCATACTTTGGTTGGTATAACGATTTAGAATATATATAAATGTTCTCAAATCTTAACCCAAGTGGATGAGTTAATAAGGAAATCATAACATTAGTCTTGCCACAGTTTGATGGTCCAATAAGTAGTCCCCGAATTGATGTGGGAAAAGTATCTCCATGACGTCTTTGTTTATTCCCTTTCTCGATACCATAACCAATTTTTTCATCCAAGTTGTCTACTCGAATTTCATAAGGCAGTTGGATAATTTTCATATTTATACACAAACGAATACACACATATGCGATATATTTATATATGTATATTAGAATAAAATTCCTATTCAGTTCAATGTTATCAATCAAACGAAGTGGTCGACTCAGTAAACGTCTTGAAACTGGTGGTGGACTAGTGAATTCTATAATTAATAAACTACCATTAGAATTACATTTACCAGGAGGGTATCAGTATTGCGGTCCAGGAACTAAATTAAAGAAAAGATTGAGGAGAGGAGATTCAGGAATTAATATTTTAGATATTGCATGTAAAAAACACGATATTGCTTATTCTGAAAACAGTGATATAAGTCAACGACATCGAGCCGACTATCAGTTGGAACAAAGCGCTTGGGAACGTGTCAATTCCAAAGACGCTGATCTCGGAGAAAAAGCTGCGGCTTGGTTAGTTACAAACACTATGAAAACGAAGCGAAAACTGGGTATGGGTCACCAACCTAATTTGAAAATAAATAAGCGAAAGAAGAAGAAAACAGCTAGAAGAAAATCCAGTATTAAAGTTCGCAAAGTAGCTTTTGGATCTGCTCTATCCAAACCTATTAGAAATATTTTGAAAAAAGAAGTTCATAGTAAATTTATAGATAAGAAAAATCTTGTAAAATCAGCTAGAGTAGCACTGCTTGCGGCTCGTAAATCATTGAAGACAATTGGTGGAAAAAGGAAGGTCCGCATGCCAAGAATAATTCCGATACCAAAAGTTGGGGGAGTTCTCCCCCTACTCCCGATCTTTGCGGGTTTATCGGCTTTAGGCTCTCTAGCAGGAGGTGCGGCTGCTATTGTTCGAACAATCAAGGAAGTATCGAATCTGAAAAATAGTAACAAGAAATCAGATGAAATGGTGATTGGGAAAGGATTGTTTCTAAAACCATATCGAGCAGGATATGGACTATTCCTTCAACAATCAAAAAACTAGATATCAAATCCCTACCGCAAAGAGCGTTGACGAATATCGATCTAGAAATATATGCGAAAAGAGAAAAAATACCATATTTTCGCGGTATATTTATGCGAGATACTTTGCCAATGAATGGTCCAAACAAAAATGAAGCAGCAATAGTTAATTTGGATAGTATTAGTGGTGTGGGAACTCATTGGGTAGCATATCGAAAAACAGGCTCTATCGCCATTTATTATGATAGTTTTGGTGATTTACCCCCTCCACGAGAACTCATAAATTATCTGAAAAAGATGCGTAATGCTGTCAAGTATCTCTATTATACATACGAGCGCCAACAAAAATTTGGTACAGTTTTGTGTGGACATTTGTGCTTAAAGTTTCTCGTAAAACAGCAGTAGGGTTAAAATGTTTAAGTCAACAGATAAATGTGTCTCTCAATTTCTTATGGATTTCTATAAGCTCGGCAGCTTTATGAACTTTAGTAGAAAACAATTGGAGCAAATACCTAAAGAAGTTTTACTTGCGTGTGCTCCAGAAGAAATAGCATTGATATGGAACAAGTTACCAGAGCACCTCAAGAAGGATAAAGATATTATACAATACCAATACTGTACAGATCATGATGAGACTAGAGGTTCTGAGGATGTTATAGATGGACCACCCCCAAGAAAGCTATTTTGTTGTTATTGTAATATTAGAGATGTACAAATTAATGCTGGGGAAAAGGAATCCAACGATAACTTTTTAAACAAGTTTTGTAAGTTACAATAAAAACAATCAGTTGTGTATGGTTGCTATCAGTCATGTCTTACACATTCACCCTATCAGGACATTCTAGTGAGCTTAGTAGTGAGTTTTACCCACCAATCGATCTGGATTCTGGAGCTAAATATGGTTTGGCCTTGTTAGGATTTTATTCATATAATTCAATTTTCAATGTCGACGAGAGTAACAACTGTTTTGGATATTCCAAAAATGTCAATGGACCTTACGAAACAATAAGAATACCTCCTGGAGCCTATGAGATTTCCACCATCAATGATATTATGTTAGATGCTCTGAAATCAGCATCAAAGATCAAAAACAATAATATTTTCTCATTGAATGCCAATAACAATACTTTGAAATGCGAATTGATATCTACACTCAACTTGAATCTGGATTATCCAAATTCGATTGCCCAAATATTAGGATTTGAGAAGAAAACTTATGAAAAAAATTTGAAGCACGTGTCCAGCTTACCAGTCAACATTATGAAGGTTAGAATAATTCGGGTAGACTCCAACATAACGTCTGGTGCATTTATAAACTCCGAAGCTTCACATACAATATTTGAGTTCGACATAGATGTTGAACCAGGTTATAAGCTGAGCAAGGAACCAACTAATATTATATATTTACCGATTATTCCTGAATCACGTCAGTTTATAGACAACATTACACTTCGCATCGTGGATGATACTGGTAGTCTTATAAACTTTCGCGGTGAAAAAATTATTGTTAAACTAGAGTTAAGGAAGCTAATCTAATAAATTAAATAAATAAAAATGGGGTTTTGTTTCATTCGCACTGTGAATAATCCTCAAAAACAGAATGAAGATATAAAGTTCAATAAAAATGTAGTTCATAGTGCCAAGAATGTCATTCTTCATTCAAACGCCAAACGCAGAAGATCTAAGCTTAATCAAAAAGACTTATCGTTTCTTAAATCCTTGGGTTTAAGACTTAAAGTGAAATGTTAACTACCAGTGAAAAAATCGAAATATTCGACGCTCCAATTTTGGACAATTCTATAACAAGCTCACAGGAATATACCTATAAACCATATGGGGCTCCATCATTTAAAAATTCAGACGAAATCCGCATTCCTATACATTTTCAAGATTTGATATTAGATGTGTCTGAGAGCTTCATTTACATCGAGGGGAAGTTCACTCCTTCCGATGGGACTAAAAAGTGTCATTTATCAAATAATGCACTAGCATTTTTATTTGATGAAATCCGTCTCGAAATGGGTGGCGAACAACTTGCTGTAGTTCGAAAACCAGGTATCACTACAGCTTTAAAAACGATGGTATCATATGGAACACAAAATACAAAATCACTATATTCATGCGGATGGGGTCTTAGCGATACGAAGCGTCAAATTTGGGACCCTGTAAGCATGGTTTTCTGTGGAAAATTACCATTGAAATATTTAATGGGTTTTGCAGAAGACTACCAGAAAGTAATATTTAATGTTAAGCAAGAGCTCATACTTATTATTGCACGCACATTCAATAATTCCTACATAGGACAAGTAGATGCAAATATTACAATAGATAAAATTGAGTGGAAGATAAGACATTTAATTCCAGAGGATAGGTTGAAGTTAAAAATCCTATCTCGCATTAACAAAGGTGGAAATATGGCCGTAGTTCCTATGGCGTTTAGATCGTGGGATTTGTACGAGTTACCATCTTTACGACAAACACAATCAGATGTGTGGGCCATACGAACTTCAACTAGTTTGGAAAGACCTAGGTATATAGTTTTAGGCTTCCAATATGCAAGTTATTCAGACAATCGGGAGAAAGATGCAACGCTGTTTACGCCAGCAAATATTAGTGATATCAGGGTATACCTAAATTCTTCAGTTTTTCCATATGAAAGATGGAATTTGGATTTTTCAAAAACCCTATTTACTCCAGCCTATAATAGCTATGATCGATTTCAAAAAGCTTATTATGGAAGAGAATGTAGTGACCCTATGATGGATATTGAAGAATACATGCAAAACCCAGTTTTTGTAATAGATTGTTCACATCAAGTAGAAGCAATAAAAAACTCAACTGTGGATATAAAAATTGAATTTTCTTCAAGAAAAACTTTTCCTAAAGACACTAAAGTGTATGCATTAATTATTCATGATTCATTCTGTACATATAATATTTTGAATGGCTCTGTTATCAACAAGTCATCCATTTAATTTTTTATTGTATTATAACGATCTAGTTTTTTACACTCCAATCGCTCGAAATAATTCTGTGTTCGCATATTTTATAAGAATAAAATATAAGTAGGTAGGTAATAAAGTATAGTTTTAGGATAATCAGCAAAATTTAACTTCATGTATCTTTATATTAGCCATAGGTTGTTTAATTATATTTATCCAATAAAAATTATTTATAAATGTAATAAATCTATTTTTTCTTTCACCTTATTCCAACCACCACATAAAGAAATAAACTATTTCAATGATAAAGATCGTTCATCAACGAAATGCATTATTCTTTGAAAAATAATACATTTCATTCCTTTCCAAACCAATGGATGTTTTTTTTCTAAGTGGTTTAGAAATAATAAAGAGCTGCCATAGATTTTCACAAAGAAAACACCGCCCTTCTATGAAAATAAAGTATTTCAATGACTGAGGATTATTCTTTTGTAAAGAGGATTATCCTTATCGTAACAGGTATAAATTTCTATGGAACGATACTATTTTAAAGCTCAAACTTTGTCCTATTGTAACAAAAAATCCATCATATCAAAATTGCTCAAACTCTGTCCTATTGTAACAAAGAAACCCATAATTTCAAAATTGCACAGGTGCCCACTTTACAAACTTTTGTTGTGAAGAAATGGTACCTATCAAACTAGAATTTTTTTCACAAAGAAAACCTCCTTTTGTATAGATTTTAACCATTCAAGGTAGCCATCGAAAAGGCAACACTGTAAAAAATTTGAGGGTCTTAAATATTTTCTTACAGATTATTGAGATTGGGATTTGGCAACGCTTTATAAAATTTTTATTAGTACTCTGACATTCGAACATATAGGCTGTACGAATAGCATAATGAACGCCGGTCAAAAACCAGTAGCAATTGTGAGACCCTATTCAATTAATAAAAAACGAATTTGTATGTTGTGTGGAGAAAGATCAATTGGAATAAATGAATCAGGTTTTTGTGAAAGGTGTGAAAATCCCGTAGTGAAGAGATTGGTGGAAGTTGCAAGAAATGTGTTTGAGACACAAAATTTTGCGGCTGCCCCAAAATCCATTGTTTTGCGAAGGTGCAGGTCAATAGCGGTCAGAGTAGTGATAGAAAAACTTAGTGAACCTTACGGAGGTACAGGTGAGCGTGTAAAAAAGTTTCTAGAACACGCGTTGAGGTATTATTATGCCAACTAATTGACGGATGATGGGTTTTTTTCTTTGAAATTTGACTTTACCCATTCAAAAAAAAAGTGTAATGGGGCGCGAATTAAGAGCTCAGTACATGACTGGCAGCCCTGTGAAAGACTTATTTTTTAATGTACCTAAGTACATTAGTACTTATTACATTAAAGAATAAGTCCAACCGGAAGCTCTTTAAATAGATTTTGTCATATGAACTAAAATAATATGTTTAAATTCTTATTCTGATCATTATATTATATTTTTTAAATTTACAAAAAATTATAGTCTTATTTATTATGTTGTTGAATCAGCTGGACCATCTTCTTCTTCTCCCATTTCTTGTAGCACATCTGGAACGCACCACCAAGTACTGTCAGCTGGTCCATTATACTCTTCTTCTTCTTGATGTTGTTGTGGGGGTATAATCCACCAACTGGAAGAGTCTGGTTCTGTTTGCTCATCCTCCTCCTCCTCCCATTCATCTTCTTGCTCTGCTGGATCATCTTCCTCATTTTCAAAAACCCAACGTTGGGCTGGTTCCGTGGAAGCGGAAAAAACATCGTCATCATCTTCGAAAACCCAACGCTGAGCTGGTTCGATACTATCATTGGAAGACATTGTTGTGTTTAATATTTTTGAGCCTTTCGAAACTATCTAAAGGAACGAATCTTCACCCACCAATTCGCATCTATATGTGTTTTCAAACAATGATAACCCCCCACCCAATCACCTATAACTTTTTTTCTAAAATCAGAAGATTTCTCATTATTGAATCCTCCAGTGACCCAATTCTTAAATATTCTCACATACGAAATTTGAAATAACTTCGAATGTTGGAGGAAAATGGAAAATGTGAAAGATGGGGGTTTTCTTGAACTATTCAAAAACTATTTTCTTGGAAAATATGAAGAAAAAATGGGTAAATTTTCTGAAATCAAAGGATTTGTTGAGTTATTGAATTGCCCCCAATAGCTCAATTCTTGAATAATTTTGTATATGAAATTTGAAGTGATTTTGAACGTTGGGAAAAATGAGAAAAAGTGAAAAAATGGAGATTTTCTCAAACTCTTCAAAACTATTTTCTCGGAAAATACGAATAAAAATGGGTATCTTCTCAAACTTTTCAGAACTTGTTGCAGTTCGAATATTTTTTACCTTAAAAGTTTTATTCTATTTTATTGGAGACTATTGGGATTTAAAAATTTCCATTCCATTCCTTTTCAAGACAAGTGTTTTTGTTTTAAAATTTGATATTTTATTCAAATATACATACATTCAATACATAATACGTAAACTAACCTTATAATGAATTTTATTTCTATATACATATTAAATATATTACATTAAATTTCCTATTTCCTAATATCTATAGAATTAAATTATTATTAGGTTATTAATAACAATTTAATTCCATAGATCCATAATACTATTTTTAAACTCTATACTATTTCTATTTAGATCTTCCAATCTCCCCTGCTTCACCTGCAGATCCACTTTTAGAAGTTCGGTTTGCTCTCGGGCCTCTAAAACTTCTTTCGCCGCTCGCTCTTCCTTCTGTCTAGCGACTTCCATCAGTCTTTCCACTTCCACCACATCGC